CAGGCAGACCCTCTGCCCTTCACAAAGGTTCCCCCCTTTCCCTCCCCCTTGGGAAAAAGAAACACACGGGATTTAATGTCCCTCATCCGTACTCCAAGAAGGAAACAAGCTGAAGCGCATCAAATTTATCTATGAAATCACCTTGCCCCATGCATGCAGAATTGGCAACGTCACAGGTGCCACCTGATATTCTTTCCGCATTTGTAAGGAATCAACCTTTTACTGTGGCAGCAAGCATATCTTGGAACTCCCTGCCTACTGACACCAGGCAGGCGCCTTCCCTGAACCCTTTTGGGCGCATGCCATGAACATTTTTCTTTAGACAAACACGTGGAACCTTGATGTATGTTTCAATCCGATTCTGGTATATTGCTGATTTTATTTTTTGAATGTTGTAAAGAGTTGTTTCTACTGATAATTTCATTGCATTGTTCTCTCCATAAAGCCGCTTTCGGGGTTGTTTTGCAATCAAGTCTTGTGCATAAGCCTTGTGAAAATAATAAGAAATAAATAAAGTACTATCACGGTGCTTTAAATGCAGGGTGCAAATATGTCCTATGAGAAAGTCCTCGTGGTGTCAATTACAGTGGGCAAGTCACTAGGAGCAGGCGGCCATGGGTAAAAAAAAAACACCCTGAAGGTTATGATATCTAGGTAGGGTTCCCCGAGATCAGTGGCTGAAGGCTTGAGCGGGAGGTCTTGCGGCTGAAGACGTTGTATCTTGAAGGCCTGCAAAGACTCTCCACCCTTCCTTCCTTGCTGCCTGCCTTTAGGAACCCAGTAAGTTGCCTTATATACTGAGTCAGAGCCTTGGTCAATCTAACTCAGCATATTGTTTACACTGGCTGGCAGCGGCTCTCCTGGGGCTCAGACAGGGATTCTCTCCCAGCCCAACTTGGAGATAATGGGGATTGAACTTGAGACCTTCTGCATGCAAGGCAGGCTCTCTAGCATTGAGCTATGGCCCTCCCTTCCAGAGCTCCCGCCCCTTCAAAAGATATCTATCAATTAACAGGCGGATTAACAACAGCCAGTGAACCGAGCAAGGAAAGGGCTGATTCAAGGAGACAGAGCGCCTTGAAGCCCACAGCAACGTTGCTAAGCGGACCACAGAACTATCTCCTTACGAAGGCCATTTTATTTTATTAACGCGGACAGCGTTGGAACGGTACAATTTAAAACAGACGTGTGCTGCATTTAAAACATTTAAAAATATTCCAAAGCCATTTAGAGCATCTGAAACTATTTAAAGCACCAAAAAGCATTTCAAAGCAATCATGCACCCCACCCTCACAGTTACTGATTTCAAGAGTGCCATTAGCCACCCGTAGTGTGATGCAGTTAATATTGGCATGGGAAAACATGCTGGGAATGGGAAGTCTGTAAGAGGGAATGTCAGGATCTTTGGCTATGAAAAAGCCTCTCTGGCCCAGGCTGAGGCACATCTAAAACAATGGCAAATAGTGCAATGGAGCCTCTTTTACTGTCATCATACAGGCTGAGCAGCTGAAACTTACAGGGAGAAAGATTTCTGGCTTGTAAGGACAGTTCCGCAGCATACATTTAGAGGACATCCAATGCACATTTAAAATGCATAGCTTCCCCCAAGGAATCCTGGGAACTGTAGTCGCCCCCTCCCAGAGCTACAGTTCCCAGCACCCTTAATAAACTATAGCTCCTAGAATTGCTTGGGGGAAGTTATGCGCTTTCAATGTGCATTGAGTGTGTTTGAAATGCATGGAGTGGACCTGCTCTTATAAGGCTAATGCAAAAACTGTTTCCTGACATTGCACTGGCTACCCCAATTCACGAAGGAGGATCCCTTTTCTTACAGACCATTCCGGCTGCTGCTACGGAATTCTGCGTTTGCAAAGGACCAAACGTTAAACACACACTTGCTGGTTTGCTTGCAAAGAGCCGATGGGTTTGTGTGTTTTTACACGAATCGCTAAATGGTGCATGTTGCTGGGGTGGGGAGCAGGGGGTAGCTGGAGCAAAACCTTACTTCCCCACTGCTTGAAGTTTTCCCTGCCCCCTCCAAACCTGCATAGTTTGGGTATCAGAACCAGGGTAGTGAAGGTGGTGAAAATTAAAGCAACAGAGGTAAAGCAAAGGAGGGCAGCAGATTTCATTCATGTGTCCTGTGTTTAGGGACACACAAATGAACACCCCCCCATTACCCAAACGACCTTTACAGCTAAATCAATAAATGTGTGTTTAATGCACAGAACTGGTTTGGTCCTAACATAATCACAAGCATGTTTTCTGCTGCTGCAAAGGGGAGGACCCAAACAAATGGATTCAAATGAAAAGGAAGGAGATTCTGGGCTCATCCACACTTCCTTCTGAGCTGCATTTCCAGGCACTTTAAAGCTCCATGTCTGTTTGTTTGACCCGGTGCTTTCCCTGGGGAAACCTGCATTTTACAGCTGAATCAGAGCAAACAGCAACTGGGTTTTCCAGGGACTATTTGCTCTGACTCCGCTGCAAAACACGGGCTTTCCTGGGGAAAACACCCGGAACAAGAGAAACAGAACGCTTGGATACGGAGCTTTAAACTCTGGAAAGCAAGGTTGAATAGGATGTCTGGGTGAATCCCGACTAAATGTTAGGAAGAACCTTCTGACAGTAGGAGCCGTTTGACAGTGGAACAGACTCCCTTGGAAGGTGATGGAATCTTTTCAAAGGGGTTTTTTGAGCAGAGGTTGGGTGGCCATCTGTCGGGGATTATTCCACTGCATATTCCTGCATTGCAGGGGGTGGGGCTAGATGACCCTCAGGATCCCTCTCAACTCTACAGTTCTTAGATTCCAAAGCCTGAACCGGTCCATCACAATAGGATGAAGGTTTGTCACCATATTATGCCACTTTGCACACGAGCTGTAATGGTAGCCAAGCATTATAAGGAGGCCGAACTTAAAAACAAGGAGATGGGAATTGGCCGAGGTTCAGCAGTTTAAATATTTCCCTTTCAAGTGAAGTTTTCGCCTGTGATTTTTTTTTGTACCCATAGTATTTCTTCAACGTTCTCTTTTGCTGTTGTAGAAATCCTTGCCCGCCTCACGCTCTCTCCCTGACTTCTGCATGAACTCAAAGAGAAAGATGCAAGAACATCTCCACTCTCAGCTGATTGGAGCAGATTAGGTAAGGAGCAGAGTGGGCAGCCTATCACCTGCTCTCTACTCATTAAATGTGATTCAGCAGCAGCAAAAACAAACAAAAACCCTAATGCAGTTCCAGGCTACTTCAACTATACTTCTGTCCAGATCACTGCCTATCCAGAGACAACAGCAGGCAAGGAGAGGGATGGGTGGGGAAGGAGCCTACAAATAAATTAAAGTTAAATTCTGCAACCAAAATTAAATTCTGCAACGAAAGTTAAATTCTGCAGAATGGATCTATCCTATCCATTTATCCATCCATCCATCCATCCATCCTGCTTTGTGCTTCTCCCCAGCTTCTCCTTTCTTGAGGTGGGACAAGGAGATTTGTAGGGCTCTCCTACAACCCCCACAGCTGGAAACTCAAAAGAGCTGGACCCTGCTCAGGCTTGTGTTTTCACCAGTCATTACCAACATGCTGAGCTGTATCTTAGTAGCAGAGCACCTGCTCTGCGTGCAGAAGGCCCCAGGTTAAATCCCCAATGGCATCTCCAAGCAGGGCTGGGAAAGGCACTTCTCTGAAACCCTGCTAGTCAATGCTGACAGCACTGGCCTTGGTAGATTTGCAGAAGGCGGGTAAGCTCAGTGGCAGAGCACCCGGTTTGCATGCAGATTCAATCCCCGGCATCTCCAGTTAGGACTGAGATCCTGAAACCCAGGGAAGGTGCTGCTAGCCTGTGCAGACAGCACTGAGCTACATGGACCCATAGTCTCACTCAGTAGAAGGCAGCTTCCAAAGTTCCAATGACTAATAGGCTTTGTACCAAAATACAGTTTCTGGCATTTCCTCAGCCTACCTTCGCAGTCTTTGGGGCAACAGCCAAAAAACAATCTACAGGTGCCATTACATTTTTGCCTTTAAAAACAATAATAATTACAACTGGCCACTGTCTCCCCTCCCACCCACACTTTCTAATAGCCAAAGCAGCTCTGGGGCTGCCAACCTGGAACAGTGATGTGGTGGGCATTGGTTTTAACCTTTCCGCTCCCGGAACATCCCCACCGAAAGCTGCTCTTTGCCTCTGAAGCTGGTACCTGAAAAATATACCGTATTTTTTGGACCATAACGCTCACTTTTTTCCTCCTAGAAAGTAAGGGGAAATGTCTGTGCGTGTTATGGAGGGAATGCCTACGGGTGGCGGGGGGGGGGGGATCTGCTGCTGCAGTCGTGAGCAGAGGATCCATGGTTCCCCTTCCTTCCCTCTTCCGTGGCTCGCTTTGAAACAGCAAAGTGGGAGAAGAGCCACTGAGTGGGGAGGAGAGAGGGACAGGGAGCCTGCTTGCTTTAAAGGAGCAAAGCGGGAGAGGAGAGGAGCCTTCTCCCCTTATACCCCTCTTCTTCATTATTAGCAGCACCCTTCTCCACCCACCCCATGCATGCTCCTTGTCCCTTGAGTGCTTTTCCTTCCCTCCCCACTTAAAACGTGGTTACAAAGCACGGATCCACATGGATCCTCAGGATTTTTGCACTGGGTCACCCCAAATTCACCATCAGATCACATAGCATGTCCATGGCTACATCCTGCAACAAAAAAATCACACACCCACTGTTGCCTGGGGACGCAGTGGTGCAAAAACGTGGTTACAAAGCATGGATCCACATGGATCCTCAGGATTTTTGCATTGGGCTACTCCAAACTCCTCTAAAAACTATGTGCTTGTTATGGTCGGGTGCGTGTTATAGAGCGAAAAATACGGTATATGCAATTTTCAGGGGGAAACCAGCACATGTATAGGGAAGAAAGGATTAGACTCCCTCCAACCTGCTTCTTTAGTCATATCCAGACAATGGCCGGCCAGTTGTAAGCTTGCTTTTCAAAGTGTGTGCTTTGGGGAACTGCTATTGTAGCTCAGCGGTAGAGCATCTGTCTTGCAGACCAAAGGTCTCAGGTTCAATCCCCAATGGAATATCCAGGTAAGGCTGGGAGAGACTCCCTGCTTGAAACCCCGGAGAGCTGCTGCGAGTCAGTGCAGGCAATATTGTGCTGGATATTAAATTCAGCACTTAGTTCAGAACCATGAGGATTGGACCCTACTATTTGTGGGGAAGTGGCTGTAGCTCAGAGGCAGAGAATTTGATGTGCAGGCGCAAGGTCCCAACTTAAATCCCCAATGGCCTCTCCGGGTAAAGCTGGGAAAGATTCCTTGCCGGAAAAACCCTCGGAGAGCCACTGTTGGTCAGTACAAGCTATGCAGAGTTGGATGGAGCAATGACCCAAGAGTTTGGCTCTGGAAGACTCCAGAATTTGGGTTCTGCTCCCTGCACAGCGACCGGTCCCCAAACTCTTCCCGGATGTACGGCGCTTCACCCACCCTCCCCATACCTGTATTTCATGCCAGTCTGCTTCACACTGGAGTCGCTGGAGGACGGGGCGTTCTGCGCGGAGAGGTGCCCCAAGCTCCGGGCCACCATCGCCACTGCCCGGAACCGACCCCGTGTGCTGGGGCTGTTGGCATTCTGCCGGTTGAGCCGGTCCTCTGAACTCCGGTTCTTGATGTTGTGGTCCGAGCAGACGAAGGACACTTGCATCCTGCCTGCTTCTGGCGTCGCCTCCCCGACCTAGACGTTGCCCTGGTCTCCCCTGACGCTGTGTCACCTGTTCTCCGGGATATGTCAAAGGAGGAGGAAAGTCTCCCAAAGAAACCTTCTGCCCAAGACCTGGATTCTCCTGACGCAGCTGCAAGGATGCTCTCCCGGAACAAAAAAACCCCAGAAAAATAACCCCAACGGGCCCGTTACCCCATCCAGGAGTGGCAAAAAACAAGGGGTCCAGGCTGACCGCCCTTCCAAATAGCAGCCATCCCCCTTCTCCTTCTGACCCAGTTCCTCAGTCTGGCAGTGTGGCGACTTTGGACATCTCCCTAGGGTGCTTCCGTGGGCGAGGGATCCCCGGCGCTGGATTTCAGTTTAATTTGGGAGCCGCAGCCGCATCTCCTTGGAGGGTGATTCCCCCACTGTAACTCTCAGGGGGGACTAAGGAGCTGCGTCACTGAGACTCAGATGGATCCAGGAGGAGCAAATCTCTCATGAGAATCATCCTGATTCAGAATGGAGGGAGGTAGCAGGAGGACACTGATGATGAGGATGATGATGATAGGGAGGGAGGGAGGAGTCTTGCTTGCCTTCGCTCAGATCCCTGAGCCAGTTCATTCACTCACCAGGCACGGTGCTGGATTTTAGGAACCACAAAGCCCGCTGTGGGTCCTCCGCTCGGGCTGAGACTCTGGAGTCTGCTGAGCAGCCGGCGAAGCGCACCAAGAGAGTCGAGCTTGGCAATTGGTGGACAACAAAGGGACAAAGACGACTTTTAATCTGGAGTCAGTGCTTCAGTGTCTTGGCCAGGCGTGGCGGCTGCTGCTGCTACGGCTTCCTCACAGCTCCGGCTGCTGCCGTCTGATGGTGAAAGCCTCCCCCCCAGACACCCCAGCCCCGCAGCCAACCCTCCCATCTGCTCCCTTGCCTCCCCCCGCTCCCCCCCCGAGGCTTGCAGAGGGATGATGACGGGAAACTAAATTTAGCCACAAAGCCAAGGGAGATCCCATCCTTTCCCAAGCAGCCTCCTTCCCGCAGGATCCCAAGAAAGGGGAAAGGAAGAGAGTTTGAATATTTCGCCAGCCCCAGGGGAGAATCCAGTGCAAATCATCTGTTAGGGCTTCGAAGCAGGATGGAGGAACGCCGGGAGCTGCCTTGTTCTAAGTCAAACCAACTAGTGTACCCAGCTCAGCTGTGTCTGCACGGACTGGCAACAGCTCTCCAGGGTTTCAAGCAAAAGGACCGACCCAGCTCAGGCTGAAGATGCCAGGGTCTGAACCTTCTGCATGCAAAGCAGATGCTTTCAGGTGCTGCATCCCTTCCCCTATCACAGGCTGCTTTCTGCCCACACCTGAAAGTACAGTATTTTTTGCTCTATAAGACTCACTTTTTCCCTCCTAAAAAGTAAGGGGAAATGTGTGTGCATCTTATGAAGCGAATGCAGGCTGCGCAGCTATCCCAGAAGCCAGAACAGCAAGAGGGGTTGCTGCTTTCACTGAGCAGCGATCCCTCTTGCTGTTCTGGCTTCTGAGATTCAGAATATTTTTTTTCTTGCTTTCCTCCTCCAAAAACTAGGTGTGTCTTGTGGTCTGGTGCCTCTTATAGAGTGAAAAATACGGTATTTGTTTCATGAAAAATGGCCTGCTCTCGCCCTGCTCCCCCAGCTACAACAGGGCAGGATGATCTGGTTGCCTCTTAGGCACGCTCCTTCTGGATTTGGTGAAGGACGCTGGGGTGGGGGGCTTTTATTTGCTGACTCTGCTCTGCTCAGCAGCAGTCTGCTGGCTTCTACACATTTATTTAAAGCACACTTTTTTTAATCCCACGGTTCAGTAAGAAAAAGGCACCTAAATAGCTCTGAATAGGAAGACAGCCTGTGCCCCAAGGCTTATAATTTAAAAGATGCAGCACAAAAAGCAAAAAGGATTCGGAGGGAGGAAAAGGACACAAAACTCAGGCACAACTAATCTTAAAGCTGGAGGTCACGTGTGAGTGGGAAAGGTTCCATTGACCCACCTAGCAGAGGATGGTCTTTACCAGGTCAAGGGAACCTGCAGACCTTCAGATGCAGCTGGGACTCCATTTCCCATCAGCCCCAGCCAATGGGCTGTGGTCCAGCAACGCCTGGAAGGCCGCAAGCTTCTTGTCTCTGGTCTGCACTGACAAACCTCCTCCAGGTTTTCAAACCCATTTTCCCCACCCCTACCTGAAGATCCTGGGAGTAGAATCTGGTGCATTCTGCATGCAGGGAAATCTCTCACAAGAAATATTCAAAGTGGTGATGTTGGCTTGAAGTCCACTAACTTTCACTCAGTGTAGACACATTAAAATTAGCTCGGGTCCATTCATTTCAATGGGTCTACTCTGAGCAAGGAAGGGACGCGGGTGGCGCTGTGCGTAAAACCTCAGTGCCTAGGACTTGCCGATCGCATGGTCGGCGGTTCGAATCCCCGCGGCGGGGTGAGCTCCCGTCGTTCGGTCCCAGCTCCTGCCCACCTAGCAGTTCGAAAGCACCCCCGGGTGCAAGTAGATAAATAGGGACCGCATACTAGCGGGAAGGTAAATGGCGTTTCCGTGTGCTGCTCTGGTGCCGGTTCGCCGGAGCAGCTTCGTCACGCTGGCCACGTGACCTGGAAGTGTCTGCGGACGGCGCTGGCTCCCGGCCTCTAGAGTGAGATGAGCGCACAACCCTAGAGTCTGTCAAGACTGGCCCGTACGGGCAGGGGTACCTTTACCTTTACCTTTACTCTGAGCACAGGTTAGTTGAATACAGCTCGTGGATTTGTATTCAATGAAATGTTACTTAGAGTAGGCCCAGTGAAATTAATGGGCCAAAGTGGATCACAACCTTTAATCTCAATGGTTCTGCTCTACGTAGGAGTAACACTGGACACAATCCGTTCCACAGTTAGACTACAGAACTCACTTCTGCAGGAGGCAATGTGGCCACTGCTTTAGATGCCTATAAAGGGGATTGGACAAATTCAGAGGAGGATAATGATATCAATGGCTACTAGCAATGATGGCTGTGCTCTGCCTCCATGGCTGCAGGCAGTAATGTTTCTGAATGCCAGTTGCTGGAAGCTATGAGAGGAGAGAGTGCTTTTGTGCTTTGGTCCTGCTTGCAGGTTTCCCATTGGGGCATCTGGTTGGTCACTGTGAAAGCAGGATGCTAGACTAGATGCGCCATCGGCCTGATCCTTCCAATGTTCTTACGCCTCTGGCATAACCTGGAGTTCCATGGCATCAATGAATGAAATCTGTTTGGTGTCAACTCAAGGGGAATGTTCCACCTACAAAGGACTGTCTACTCTGGAAACAGCCTTCCTTAGTCTCCAGTGAGCCACCAGCCTGACTAGCAAGAGACAAATCCTGGTACCTCTCTCATGCAAGGCTGGACCAGGGGGTTGCCAACATGGCGCTGAAACTACGCCTCTGCCCTAATGGCACCCCCCCCATAAACAAGGCACTGCCTCCCCCCTTTTTGGTCACAGAATGGTCTGCACCATGGGTAGGCAAACTAAGGCCTTCTCAATCTGGCCCGCGGACGGTCTGGGAATCAGCGTGTTTTTACATGAGTAGAATGTGTCCTTTTATTTAAAATGCATCTCTGAGTTATTTGTGGGGCATAGGAATTTGTTCATTCCCCCCCTCCAAATATAATCCGGCCCCCCACAAGGTCTGAGGGACAGTGGACCGGCCCCCTGCTGAAAAAGTTTGCTGACCCCTGGCCTTTGGCTCCTCTTTGAGAGGGAGCCCGTTATTATTATGGGATGCCCGAATGTGGACGTGTTTTGTTGCTGCTGGGCGCAGCATGAGGAACCCATCTAGCATTCCGGAGAAGGCAAAGAGCAGCGGGGGGGGGGGGGCATTGTCGAAGGCAAAGGCATCAAGGGAGAAGCAAGGGGGAAAGATCGCCTTGCTTAGCAAAACGAGCCTCTGTGCATTGGGATCTCTGCTGCAGAGGGACTTTTCTCTGCGCTGTTAAGCAGCGCTCTGCGCCTGCCATGTGCAACGCCCACACAAGGATGAATTAGCACACGGCAAGTTGCTCCTGCCCCGCTCTGCCTCCAGGGCATGAGCTGACACAGAGAGTTTATTCTGGTGCCTTGGCTCTTCTCTGAGAAGGAATGACGGGGCAGGAGCGGGGGAGAGGGAAGGAGGCATTTGAAGAACCTGCCCCTTCTATTTTTCTCCTTGTCTTTATTGAATTCTCCCCAACAACCCCCTGCAAGGTTTCACCAAGGCTTTTTGGTCCTGAAAAAGTTAGTCAATGCTGCATGTTTTTCATTTCATTTATTGCATTCACATTCCACCTTTCCCTTGAAGGAGCTCAAGGTGGCATATACGTGGTTCTCCCCATTGCCATTTAATT